TTGCAACAGCTCGTCACTATCATGGCTTCCCAAGCTCAATTCAACCGAATAAAGATGACAACTCTGCAAAAGAAGTTTCCTTCTTTCAGCTGCAGTTGCAGTTTAGAAAAGAGAGAACCATGAATCAGACTCTCAAAATATCTTATCAAACCCACAATTCAAATTCCAAAAGAGTTTAAGCCAGTGAATTTATTTCTGGTACATATGAAAGAAATTCTAAAGCCATAATTCATTTATATCCCGAAGTGGCAGATTAAACACTAAACTAAAAAACGTAATAAGGCAATCTTTCATGTATCTGTTATCTATACAAAGCAAGACACCTGGACTGATTCAATGGAAAACTAATGAATGACCAGCAGGAGAAGGAAGAAAAGGCACATGTCTTTATAGCCTAAGCAGTGAGAAGCACATGTCTTTAAAGGACAAGAGTTGCTAGTTGTTCTATTCTTGTAGTTTCAGCTAAAAAACTCCAAAGATGAAATTAACAAAACCATCTAAGATAGTTAACCAGAGAGGAAGGGTTTATTATGCTAAATGAAACTCACCAATTCAACTTCTCTTCCTTCTTAACCTTCTCGTCATTCTTTGTGTAGTAGCATAAGCTAATTCAGGAGAGTAATCACCAGCAAGGCCAACAACAATCAGCTCACTGACATCCTTCTCCTAGGCCCCAGAGAGAAGAAAATTGATATGGTTATACCTTGATGCTCATCGAATCAATTTCTGTGACTAGGTTGCACCGGGCAGAATCAGTGTAAGCATCAGAACCTTCACACATACAGTGAAGGACAGAGAACCACTGCAGCAGCCCATAAGAAGAGTTGCAGCACACTTTTCTAGCTTCTTAATCTCATCTCCTGAAATGTATTGTGTGCCTAAAATTACAAGGCAGAAAAGCTTTTTAAGTATGTCGAACATCAGTGCATCTCTTATGCCAAATGAAAGTTGTCCATGCTAGACTTAAATTGCCACAAAAACCTACCAGATCAATGAGGAACTCTGATCCTTAATCCTCCCATCTCGTAGTACTAGTCACTTAGAAGATGTAAAAACCAAAATCAATAAACCCAATCAATTTTAAAAAAGCACAGATGAAAATCCACTATAAAAAACCAGAACAGAATTCAAGCAAACTAACTTCAAATCCAACAAAGCAATTTATGGATTCTGAGCATGCACAGACACCAATATTTAAATGTTGTACTGATCACCAAAATTCAAGCAAACCACCCCATAGAATGCAGACCAAATGTCAATACCTTGTATCTGTGAAAAGTGTTAGCCAGGGGAGAATCATAAGTAAACAATATATTCTCTTCTCCACCCTTGGTTCATGCACAGACTCATCATCTTGTACCTCTTCTCACACCTGGACAGATTCATAAATAAGCAGCCTTAAGCCCATTTACAATCAGATATCCCAACTTTCCAACTCACAAGCATCATTCATCTAAGAAAAATGTAAAATGCTACTTTAGCAACTCATAAAAGCAGAAAGTACAAGTAAGAGATCGACATGGAAGCAACATAGGTGCATAACAATTCTAGGATGTGAATTCATGCATGCATATCTAGTAGTTCCAGTCAAATGGGTGTTGTACAACAATGAAAACAAATACATTAGCAATTTTCTACTCAACCCCATTACTTTTAGCATCTTGGTTTACTCCACGGAGGCCCTGCTCTGAAATCAATGACACAACATAAAAAATTTGAAGGAGAAAAAGGAATTGAATGAATACCTTCATCCATTTCAAAGAGAAACCTGTGTTCCCTAAAAGCAAAGGGCTCCTCCCAACGTTTCTTCATCGTTTCAAAATCATTGAACGTTGGCACATAAACATTGGATTTGACGAGTTATACCGATCCCTTCAAGGTTCAGCTCATTATATCCAACTTTATAGCATTAGACTTCATTAAATCAGAAAATCCTTCACAAATGGTATGTAATTTCAAATTACATACCTCTACTTACAACTCAAGAACCCTAAGTATTAGACGTCGGCGATCCATACCACCACCAGATCACCTCCACGTCTCTCCCCCTTACTATCGTCCGACTACCACGCTACCAGGCCGCCGCATCAGTACCTTTCTCTCCAAACCGTCAGATCGTCGTCACCGGGAATCCCCCTATGGGCTCTTCCGTCGTCGATCGATCTGCCACAGCAACCATGACTCATCTTAGTCGCGTTGCCGCACAGCTCGCTTCGCTACCGCTGCGCCACCACCCACCTTTTTCATCGTCGGTCTGCAACGCAAGCCACAACATTCCTAATCGCTTACCAACCGAGCCGCCAGTCCACCTCCAAAGTTGCCGTTGTCGTTCTCGATCGTCGCCAGTCTACCTCCAAACTTGAAACCCTAACCATAAACCCCCTTGAAGAGCATGCTTTTTCATCAATCTGTTTCGCCATGGAAGAGGGCATCAGATGGATCTATCTAACTTGCTAAGAAAATAGGGTTTTGGCAGTAAGAGTTCGGGAAAGTTCGGAGAAATGGAAGGAACTAGTCGGGTGGAGAAAAAGGCAAGAAGAACAGTGAAAGCGCTAGAAAAAGTCAAGAGGCGAAAGGATTGGCTTTCTTTATTTCCCTTTAGATCTAGTTTTCTCCATCTAGTATGCTAACTAGTATGCTAATTTTTTCAATTCCATGGACCAAAAAGTGGCGGGCAAAGCAAAATTATGGAGGCAGAGCAATTTTTTCGGGAATGCAGATATTTTGGGAGCAAAAGCAGTTTTTGGGTGCCAAAGCCCAAAAGTGGCGGGCAAAGCAAATATTTTGGAGCCAACACAATTTTTTGGGAGAAAGCAATAATTTTTGGAGCCAAAAGCAATTTTTTGGGGGCAAAACAAAATTTTGAGCTAAAGGAAACTCTCCCTCCAAAAATTTTGGAATAAATTTCTTATAAAATTAAATTGTTACATTATTCACCTGAATTTACCGTGATTAACAATTAATCACGGTAAATAAATACTAAAATACAGATAAATTAGTTACCGTGATTAGAACTATATGATCAAATACGGGAACGTTTACTGTGACTATTAGCATACTTCTTAACACGGGAAAAATTACCATGAATAAGATCCCGTGACTAGAAATCTGTTTTCCTGTAGTGGTGACTTACCCAAACATAATCAAAGTTAGAGAAACCATGAAATATACTAGATAAACACATTCATTTATTAAAACCATAAAATGCCCATTCATTACATAGTAACCCTAGAACTAGGGTTTGAGGTTTAGAACCATTAGTACCTTAGAGGACTACTCCATAAAGGAGGGAAGAAGATACATAGAAGAAATTGGGGAGACTTGGTGTAGAGGAAGATGACTCCTCTCTTCTAGCTCCTCCTTCTTATCCTCTTTTCCTTCCTTTAGCTTCTCTCTCTTCTTTAACTTTCTCTAACAGGAAATTCTATTACAAAATCAAATCTCTTCTATGGGAGAAGAGGTTCTTCTATTTATAGTAGGGATGACAATTTCGACCTGATCCGCTTTACCCGACCTGTTTGGACTGTTTTGGGTGGGCATGGGTACTATCGTGGACCCGACCTGCCTTGACCCGCCCTATTCTCGACACACTATTGCCTAAATTACATGTAATCTTAGTCAAATTACTTACGATTTTCCTTTTCTTACATCATATTTTAGCTATGATAAAGTTATAAATTAGTGAAAATCTCAATTTCTCCAATGATTTATATACATTTATCATTATATGTTTTGTTTTCTTGGTCTTATAATGAAAATAATGAAAATTTCTAATGTTTTTCGTATAAATTGCATACCCATTGGGTCGCCCTGCCACAACCTACGACCCATGATAAATTATCCGACTTGTACCTGACCTACCACGGGGCGGGTATGGGTATCGAGATACCCATCCTGGACCTACCCCATTGCCGTTCCTAATTTATAGCCTTCAGAGGACGGAGAAGTTCGCAGCTAGGCAGTATGAAGATCGCGGTCGCAATCTTTCTCCTCGAGGCCGTGATCTGTCGATGCTGCCATTTTGGCCATTGGGCGCGAGGGGTTTGCGGGCTGACTTCACTGTCGCGATCCACGAAGTGCAACCGCGAACTTCCTCGCGGTCAATGTGAATTGTGGCCGTGATCGGTTTGGGGAAACTCTCTGTTTCTCCTCGCTGGCTTCTTCACGAAGTTCTTTTCGACCACGATCTTTGCCTTGAGTTCGCCGTCATTGTTCTCGACCGTGTTCTCCATCTCCAGGCTGTGATCATCTGCCTTCTCCCCCTTTTGCTACAATTATGTCCTTTTTGTACCTAATTCGCATGTATTGTCTAAAGCACGCTAAAATCACATCATATTCAAATAGGAACGAAATAAGGATGCAAATGAATTAGCACGAAATAAACCTAAATATGATGGGTAAATAACACCAATTTATTCGACACTAGAAAATTTCAATTCGTCATTAACGGCTTCTTCCCGCAAACTGCATCGATGGAAGTCAGAGTTTCATGCAGAGGTGTAGGACCTTCTAGGTTGTATATTGTAGTAAAATCTGAACCAAAATCTTTATAGATTTTAGCCCTTGTACTTCGTTTGAACTCCAACTCAAATCCAACACTATAACTAGTTCCGTTATCTTTAATAGAGGGGAAGTTATTAACTCCACTATTTCTCATTTTAAATGGAAATCGAGTCTAAAAAAATCTGCATCATTGGATTCTAGTGGAGTACGAACATTCAAATCATAGACAATTAGCAACATAGTCAATAAAGACACATTTATATGCTTGACTGTGTGAGTGATCGGGAATTATGTGTTCCTTAGAATGATATTTAGTTATATGGATTATTTATATGCAAGAACTATCGTCGTTGCAAATTTGAAATTTCCAAACTTCAATTTCTAAATCGTAGTCACGTGTTGGACTCGCATTGGTTTGGCACCAATCATGATTTCTACGTTGGAGATCTCGCCGTTACTTTTAGCTTTATAAGTTTTCCTCTCATATATTGGAAGAAGGAAGAAAAAAGTTTTTCCACAACCAGTACTTCCAGTGCCAAATAACATTGGACAGTTGTCCTGCCACCCCCCCACCACCTCACAAATCATCAAACCCGTCCCGCGGCCATGGCGGCAGACCACCATCCTCCCTCCGATCTACACACACCACCGCCGCCGCCTTCTCCCGCCGCAACACCGCTCCTCCTCCACCGCTCTTCTTCCCTCGGAGAGTCCCACGCCGAGGCCAGCGATCAGCTGGAGAGCAAACTCTCCGACCCGGCATTACCCCTCCTGAAACGCCTCTCCTCCTGCTCCGGGATCGAGCTCAAACTCCTCTTCCACCTCGCCGGCCCTTGCATCGTCGTCTACGTCACCGGCTTCATGATGTCCATGTTCACCCAGATCTTCTCCGGCCACCTCGGCAACCTCGAGCTCGCCGGCGCCTCCCTCGGCAATAACGGCATCCAGCTCTTCGCCTTCGGCATCATGGTACAAAACAATTCCCTACTCACCCTTTTTTTTTTTTAATCTTTCCACTAAATTTAAAATTATTATTTTTTTTCGTAGTGGGGGCTTGGGAGCGCGGTGGAGACGCTGTGCGGGCAGGCCTACGGCGCCCAAAAGTACGAGATGCTGGGAATCTATCTGCAGCGGTCGTTCGTATTGTTGTCCCTGGTGGGATTGGGGATCGTGGCCGTCTACTCGTTCGCCAAGCAGATCCTGATGTTCCTGGGGCAATCAGAAGAAATCGCGTCGGCGACGGGGCTGTACGTGTACGGGCTGATCCCGCAGATATTCGCTTACGCGGCCAACTTCCCGATCCAGAAGTTTCTGCAGGCCCAGTCCATCGTCATGCCCAACGCCTACATCTCGGTGGCCGTGCTGATGGTCCACCTGGGGATGAGCTGGGTCGTGGCCTACAAGCTCGGCGTCGGGCTGCTGGGCGCGTCGCTGGCGCTGAGCCTGTCGTGGTGGGTTCTGGTTGGGTTACAGTTCTGGTACATCGTCCGGAGCGAGACGTGTCGTGACACGTGGACCGGGTTCTCGGTGCAGGCGTTTCACGGGCTGTGGGATTTCTTCAAGCTGTCGGTGGCGTCCGGGGTGATGCTGGCGCTGGAGCAGTGGTATTTGGACGTGCTGGTTTTGCTGGCCGGGATGCTGGAGAATCCGGAGCTGTCCTTGGATTCTCTATCCATTTGGTGAGTCGGGTCGGGTCAAAAAAACACCAAGATCAGTTGGCTTTTAATTACTTCTGTCCTTTTTGTCTCTTCTCATTATGGATTGTCCCTACGTATTACTTTACTTACTATATATGTGTTGCAGCGCGACGCTAATGGGTTGGTTCTTCATGATTTCCATGGGGTTCAATGCGGCTGCAAGGTAAGTGGAACATATTGATTGCACTTTGGTGACACTTTTGAATTGCTAATTAATTAGTTAATTCCTCGCTAATTAGTAGCGGGGGACAGTTATCGGATCCAGTGAGAAAGTATAAAAGAGACCTCATCAAAAGCGAGTCCTATAATTAAGTACGATTAGATAATGCTAGCTAGTGTGACTAAGTTCGTTGTTTATAAATATACTTTCTCAAGGATTAATTAGTTGCTTTTTTTATAAGTGTACTTTCTCAAAGATTAACTATTTGATTGTTTGGATATGAGTTTTCTAACATATGCCATTTTAATTAAGTTGCCAGTTTTCTATAAATAAACAAGATTATTCAGATTGTAACAAATCATAGCAAACCAAAAATTTCACATTCCATAATGGTGCACTTTTTTCCACCTACTTGTCAGCTGCAGAATAAAGATGGTATATGGTAGTACGGTTACCAAACAGTAATTCCATTGACTAACTCTAGTGTTGATTAAAAATATGAACCGTACTTATCATTGATTGATCACGTACTTAATTGACGTACAGTGTCCGAGTGAGCAATGAGCTTGGCGCCGGGCATCCCAAATCGGCGGCGTTTTCAGTAATAATGGTGACCGGAGTTTCCTTCCTGGTGTCGGTGATCCTGGCGATTTTAGTGATGGTATTCCGCGACGTCATCGGCCTGGCTTTCACCGAGGGCCAAGCCGTCTCCGCGGCTGTCTCCGATCTCTGTCCGTTGCTGGCCATTACCATCGTCTTCAACGGAGTTCAACCTGTCCTCTCAGGCATGTCATTTATCAATTAATTACTTACTTTTTTTTTCTTTGAACTTAATTGATCTCTGAACCCATCGACAAACAGGCATTATCTGAATGGGTTTTCGTCACGGACATGTATTAGTAGAAAAATACAAACGTAACTCTCTGAGCGGACCACGATACTTGACAATAGTTTTGTTGGTATATAACGTGGTGTTTGAGACGTAGAACGGAATCTTGATTAATTAGAAGATACTGTGTTTTTTTTTTTGGGTCTTGTTTGAACTTGTCGACTACTTGTACATATGTTGCCAAATTTTGCTAATTAACTGGGCCGCGCGCTGGCTGTACTTGCATGTGATGATGGATGGTTGCAGGAGTGGCAGTAGGGTGTGGATGGCAAGCATTTGTGGCGTATGTGAATGTGATCTGCTATTACGTTGTTGGCGTCCCCTTTGGCGCTCTTCTGGGTTTCCATTTCAAGATGGGTGCTAAGGTAACGTTTACACATGACTAAACTTACACCATTGTTTGAATTTCTTTTTTTTGCTTCTCCGATCGAAAAACCCTAACAAGGTGTAACAGTTTACAGCATGCATAGTAGCCAATTCGTAGGAGAAAAAAGAAATTGAATGTATTATCTCCAGACCAGTATGGTTAGCAAGATTAGGAATGACTGATGACTACAAATGCGTAATATGGGAAAGTGGGCATTGCGTGCCAAAAATAAAGCACGTGCCCATGTTGCAATGGTCTCATTTCAACAAACAAACAAGTAATTAAAATTGATTCATTAAAGCTATACGCGCAGGAAAACAGGCTCTAGTCTAGTTAGTGTTTGTTTTGCGATGTGTCAAGAATGTGTGGACCAATATTTAATAATTCGCTACTTGTGTTTCTATCTTGTTGTCCTTCTGTTCTGTGTATCGTTTCCATCAGCTATGTCTATTCATTCCTGTGGGGCCGTCACTGGAAACCAAAGTGTTTTGGGTCTTGGGGTATAGCGAGCGTTGCGCCAACTGCATTGAATTTATTCGTTCATCAGAAAATAAAGAAAAAAAAGAACAAAAATAGGTACTGGTTACTGGTGGATTAGACTACGTGGTTTTGGATGGATGCCAGTGAGACAGTAAAGAGTTATTTTTTCTTTGTCTTTTTACGGTCGATGATGAATGACTTGGTGTTGCCGTGCGTTTTTTTTGTAGGGAATATGGACCGGTTTGCTGAGTGGTACCATATGTCAGACCGTCATTCTGGTTTGGGTTACGTATCGCACCGACTGGAAAAAAGAAGTAAGTTTATATAATCTCCTTTATCATTACATAACCCGTAAACTTCCGGCTATAGAAATATTCATTAGCTCATCAACTTTGCACATTCATAGTAAGTACATCCACTACAAGAAAGAAGAAAATACCACTTTAGCGACAATTTTTATATAATTTACCGTCGGTAAAAACTTTAACGACGACCAAGTGATCGTCACAGATCCCACATTTATAGTAACTACCTGTTCAAAGACTGAAACCCCTCAACTTCAACCTTGATTGAGCCTTTCACTGAAGCCATATATCAATGGCCCGAGTAGAGAAATCTCATATAGAGGTCTAAAACAAAATACGATTTTAAGGGTATATTCTAGTAGAGATAGATCAACATTGTGCTTTCTGTTTTTTCTTTCTTTTTTTTTTTTTTTTTTTTTTTGTTGCGGCAGTGTTACCTCGCTTTCTCCCCCGGCTACACAGCTCTCTTTTCAATGCACCAATCCATTATTGTTGCTTATGTATGTCTGTATTCCCTTTACCGCTATGAAACCAAATTTTCACATTCCTTTTTAATAAAGTAACAATGGCACTCTAGTCTCTAGCCTCAACTTTTGGTTGTTTAGGCAAGTAAAGTTTGATAATATCATTGACTTAGCTATCCAGTTGAGTTTTTTTTTTTTAAATATTAGTTTGAAAGCTAAGTGTTAGTGACGTGTTACCATTGAAGCCATTGCCACAGCCATCATTATAGGTTTTTACTTTTCTCTAGTGTTTGTGAAATTGTATACATACTTATAGTCCGACCGAAAAAATGATAAGACAATGGATCTCCCAAGCCCATCGCATGCATTCCATGCACAAAAGAAGGCCACCAACGTGGCTGGAGAAAAAGAATCCAACCCATGGTTGTCAAACTGGTTTCCTGTCGGTCAGTTCAATTGGATATAATTGATATCGGACACCAAACTGATTGGAAATGGGCTGGTATTTAGCTTCGGTAAAATCCAATCAATGTCGGTGAAATTCGGTAAAATCCAAAAATTCCTGCCGATTAGACCAGAAACCTGAATTCAGTGTTATGTACATTATATCCAAAAATTAAACACACTTCATATGGTTCGAACTAAGTACTTCATATTAATTTTAGTTTCAATTATACACCAGCAAGCTACAAGCAACTTTGTTGTATATATTAGCCTTATATATTATATATCTAATAATACATTTTACAAAAATTATTATAACCATTAATAAAATTAATTTTATATACTTTATTTTTACGCATCTAATTGTTTACTATTAGTTACCAATGCTTAGCTATAATTTATTTTGTGTGAAATAATTCTTTAATTGCTTTACTAATTTATTTGGAATTGAGGATTTCTATTTTACTCATGTATTTTATTAGAATCGGCATAACCGATATGAATATTGTTTATACCACTGTCGGACCATTCCACTTGTAAAACCGTCGCACCAGCATAAACCAGTTTGACAACCTTGATCCAAGCCCAAGGATTGCCATTACTTTTTAGGTTGTTAGGATGGAACTATAACAATTTGAAGGCAAGATAAGATCACTTTTAAGTGATTCGTCTGCCAAATCGCTTAGGATGGAAGGAGTGTATTAACCGATATTTTCATTAGGTAGAAGAAGATACGGGAAATCAATTGATGTAGTACCAAATGCTAAATTAATGTTATCGGTATAACACAGTTGAATCATGGTTAAACCATTGTTTCTGTATCAAATATCCTATCATTATTACAATCCTTAGCCTTTTTACCCAGGTGAGTTTGTAATAGGACCAATAGATTCAAGAGGATAATATAATTACACTATGGAACTGAATGATGATGAATCAAAATGCAGGTGGAAACAGCAGAGAAAAGGCTGGATAGGTGGGAAGACAATAAGCAACAACCGTTGCTGCACAAGTCATGAAAGGCTCAACAAGTGAAAGATCGGATAGTCCTTATTTTACTTTCTAATTTACGTCTGTGTGCATGGATATTATTAAGAAGACAACTATCGTATTGTGGTCATTATTTGAGATGAGATAAGCACCTGTCGACTAGCGTCCAACCACATGAAGAATCAAACTTGCATGGACCACAACTATAAAGTCCAAGCGAATCGGTTTCATGGTTGATGTTGATGGCATTGCACTAGTTATAGCCACATTTTATACTTACCTAATTAGGTTGCTCTTGCTCTCTGCATATATTTTTCCAAGTTAACGCTTGAAATCAGAAGCAAGATTTGATTTCTATGGACGATATTGAAACTTTATCCACTTTATTTTGTGTGTTGGTGTATTGACTCAATCCATTGTTTGTTTCATTACACCAATCCCTTTTGCTTTGGTACGATCTGGAATTCTAATTAGGAACACATACTAAACACAATGCAAATACTGTAACATATCATTACAAAGAGAGAAATAGATTATACATACCTGATGTATTATGCTCAGTGGTTGCAGTTTCCTCAAAGTCGTCATTCTCTGTAATCAGCTCATGTGTTACTTCCTGATCACGCATATCATTGTAGGTTCTAGTCCTTGACTTCCGAAGCGGTTCCCGAACCGGCTCCATTCTTGGAGCATTTGCTATCAATCTTGTCACTCTTGCAGGTATTGGTCGGTTGGCTGCATCCCAGTTTCTTTTGGTACCACGACGCATACCAGGAGTCATATCTGCAAAAACAAGTGCCAGTCTATTATATAACATCAATGAGGCTTCCACTTCTCAAACTTTAAATGCCTGGCTCGGTTTGGATCGAAGCATAGGATTCAATTTGACAAACCAGAATCCATAACATATAAATGACAAACTATCATCAAACAGTCACACAATTTTCATTGGGCATAGAATTCAAAATGAAAGTCTAGTATAAAACAAAAAAATTCAAAAAACTCGGTTCTAGTCATCATTCTCTATATCATCTTGATCGTCATTCCTGTCATTATCCCTAGAAGAGTCACTTAGATACTCTAGCTTCTCATCCTCCGCAACCTCTGATTCTGCATCTTTAGAAATTACCATCTCGTTCCTAGCTAGTACTTGTTCCATGATTGTGATTTTTGCAGTCGTTACGGTCACTGGATCGCCATCAGCACTACTGAGCTAATGGCCATCGATGTTGTCTGCTAGAATTTTGACCGCCTCCGTGTTTGATTTGTCCTGGTAAGGTTCATAAATGCAAACTCGATCAACCTCTTCCCCATCCTCCTTTTTCTGGAACGTCATATATATGCCTAGGATAGACCTTATTTACTATATCCCATGTACCACCATTTTTTGTATCCCCTATATAAAAAACCTGTTTCGCTTGGTTAGCTAATGCATAGGGCTCATTTTGGTACCACCTCTTCCCTATTTTCACACTAGTTAGAAAACCATCAGATCTGATCCCATTCCTCATATCTCCTACATCCCACCAATCACACTTGAATAAATATACTTTAAAGTTGTTAAATAATTGAATTCGCAAAATGTCTACCACCACACCATAAATATCTATAATATGCCCATTATGTTCCCCCTGGACAACAACACCACTATTTTGAATACGTCGTTTACTATCTACCTCATGAATTTTATACCGAACACCATTGACAATTAAACCCATGTATCTAGTTATTCTCTCATCTGCACCTATACCTAGAATGTATAAATGGTCATTCTGGCTAAGGAAGCCATAGACAAACAACTTTGGAACCTATATAAAATACAAAAAAAAAAACAGCAAGGCACAGTTAGATTGTCACAAAAATACTTGAACTCAAACCTAAATGAGAAAACCGTCTAATTATCGATTTATAGAATTCACCACAGGTTACATAAGTTTTTAACCATTTTGGGAACAATTCTGCAGTAGCCATGAATGAAGAATTTGGATTAATCCTCTTCATCTCCTCGGAACACATTATGTCAGGTGTGATAAGAACTTTACCTATAACACCAAACATTGTACCTCTTACGCACTTGAAGATAAATTCATGTGAAAAAGACAATTTGACTTACTTGAAGCAATCCTCTCCCTCTTCTCAATTATTTAGTATGTAGGTTTGAATATTGTTAAACTCAGGATGCTTTAGAGTCTCATGTTTAGCACCATCTAATGGTCTAGTCTTCTGATAGAAAATATATAACCCACCTTCACCATATAAATGAGTCACTTCATCATTTCTATCTAAACGAGTCTCCACAGACTCAACCCCGTCAAGATATCTCGCAAAAAATTCAGAGCAATCTTTGGCGATATATTTTTCAGCTATGGATCCCTCTGCACGTACTCTATTTGTGACAAAAATTTTCAATCTTCCTAAGAACCTTAGGACAATTGAATACAGAAACACATGTTAACTGAGTGACAATGAAGCTTAAAACATTAAAAAAAAAAAACAAGACTGCCTATGTACCTTTCCATTGGATACATGCACCTATATTTAACTAGACCGCCCAACATTATCTCATCAGGAAGATGCATGGCAAGATGCATCATTATGGCGAAGAATGATGGAGGATAAACCAACTCTAGTTTGCAAATAATTAAGTTTATGTTCTTTTGCAAAGTGTGGAATAAAGAGTTGGATATGATTTTGGAACATATCTCTCTAAAAAATTTACTTAGTTCATCCAAGACGACATATACTTCTTTCTTCAAGAAACCTTGTGCCACTGCCGACAATAAATGCCGTATGAAAACATGGTAGTCATGACTTTTCATGCCAGTCACAGACTGCCCATCACTAGTAATACAATGTGATATGTTGGATGCATATGCATCGGGGAACTTGATGGTTTTCAACCACTCAGACACTTCTCACCGTTTCAAAACCGGTAATGAATAATAGGCATGAGGTAAACAAGGCTTAGTCCCAGTTCTATCAATGTGCAACTCTTTGTGAATTCCCATGTTTTCCAAATCAAGCCTAGGAGTCATGCCATCTTTCGTTTTTCCTTCAGTGTTCATCAGGGTTCCTAGTAGATTCTCACTGATATTCTTCTCCATATGCATAACATCTAATTTATGCCGCAATGCAATACTAGTCCGATAAGGCAAACCCCAGTAAGTAGCTTTGGTTTTCCAGTTTAAACTAGGATTTGAGGCACCCCTTTTCTTTTTGGGACTACTACTTGCCTGCTCACTGCCTAAAGCGAAAGTAACTTGGTCAAGCAATTGTTGTCCAGTTAACACTTTTGGCCTAGCTCTGAAATCTGACTTCCCATCAAACTTCCTACTTCTCCTTCATGGGTGATCTTCGTCTAACCATCTACGGTCACCCAGATAGCACTCTTTGTTGCCAAATTGTAATCGTAGGTAGTTTGTCTCCCTATTGAAGATAGGACAAGCTAACCTACCTTTAGTACTCTACCCAGACAACATACCCATGATTCCATAATTCGTTCAGACTCTCAATCAGTGGCTCCAAATACACATATATATTGTTACCCGGGGATATCTTCCCTGGTATCATGACACTAAGGAAAAAAAATACTCTTTCATGCAATACCATGGTGGCAAAGTGTAAGGAGTAAGAAGAACATGCCACATGCTGTAGCTAGTACTCATGTTTCCAAATGGATTAAACCCATCACTCAACAATGCAAGTCAGACGTTCCTAGAATCGGAAGCAAACCAACTATGGGCTGCATCAAAATCTTTTGAAGCCTGTGCATCTGCTGGATGCCTAAGGATATCATCATCGACACGATTATCCTTGTGCCACCTCATAGCCATTGCGATATGTTTAGTCATAAACCACCAAAGAAGCCTATCCTTTATAGGGAAATACCTAGCACTTTGATTCGGGCTCATTTGTACACTTTTACCCCCAGTTTGCTTAGTCGTTTGAAGCATTTTTACTCCAGTAGTTCGGTTTTACGCCGGGTTATGCCTTGTTTGGTATGTTTTAGGCTTTGGCAGGTGAAACCAACCCCGGAGTCGAAAGTTGGACGAAAGGGCGAAAGATCAAGTCAAACGGTGGAAACAGCAGCAGTTCACATATTGGGCTGTGAGTTCACGGTAACTTAGACCATGAACTAGAGGCTCTCCCTACGAACTGTTAGACATCTAGGGGACAGAAGGGTTTCACTGGATACAAGCGACTTCATGGTCATAAGAACGTGAACTTAGACCACCGTCCGTGAATAGAGTTTAGTGATGAGGCACGTTTCATTGTTGGTTCACAGTCTGTGCTTTCAGTTCACAGCCGTGAACTAAGACCGTGAACTGCACCCGATCTGGATATATAAAGGAGGTTAAGCCAAAGGAGAAGGGGAGAAACCTAGTGTGAGAAACTTCTTCCTCTTTAGATTTTTAGAGTGAGAAAGTGAAGAACCAAAGAAGAGGAGAAGTTAGGGTTTCATCTTCAAGCAAGGAATTGGGAATTCCTCCCCCAAAGGAGGATCTCTTCAACACAAGGAACAAGGCTAGCATCTCTTTGATGGTTTTCCTTCTTCTCTCTTGTGTTTTCCCTTATCCTGGAATGGAGTAGTCCCTTCTTTCACTTAGGTGTTTGTAAACCCTAGCTACAATTATGTGAATGCTTGTGTGAATTGAAAGATTTGTGTTTGGTTGCGTTTAATGTGAATGTGGAGGTATTATTCATGAATGATTGAGTTGTGTGAAAAGCAGTTAAAATCGGGATTTTACCTAAAATCGAAAACTGGGGTAAAATCGGAATCGTAAAATCGAATCGTAGAATCGTAGGATTTTAAGTACCATATAGAAATTAACATATAATAATATTAATAAGGTAAATAATTAATAACACGAAGACTTATAACATTTAAAGTGATAATTTTCAAGATTAATGTTCCAAAATCATCATTTTAATTGTAATTTAATGCGTAACTCAAACTAATTTATGAGGAAGGGATAGAGCTCATGGGGTTTGGCTCTTGTTTTTCATGTTGTGTCTAGGTAGTTTAACTCAAAGTAGTATTCCGACATCATCTACTAAGCATGATTTAAAACTAAGAATAACTGAAATCCAATAAAATAATTAATGTCATTGGTTTGGTACAAATATATTTATTAATTAAATAATTTGTTAATAATGATGCTAATTCTTACGCACTTACAATATCCTGACAATTGTTTTACCGATGAGTTAAACAAGGAGAAGGGAAAGGGGTTGACCGAACCCTAATTAGTTTTTCTTCTTCTTTTCGAATGTTCTTTTAATAGGAAAAATATATGAGAAGATCTCCGTCATTGCCCTTTCCACCGAAACAGCTCTGCTTCTTTTGAATTGGCTCAAGCTCCCTATTTAGTTCACATAGGATCAAAATCCCGATTTTGGTACGATTCTACGATT